TGGCCCCCAGCCAGGGTCGACCCACCACAGAAGAAAAAAACTGAAATAAAACCTGCAAGTTTTCTTACCAGAATCCCTTTTAATTCTTTCATTGCACTTTCAGAGGGCTTTGGTGTTTCTGGCTGTAAACAAACACAATGCATGCATGTTAAAAAATACATGAAATGGTCCATGACAGACTTTGTACTTGAAGACAGGCATCGCATGAGGGTCCACTGCAGAGGCACGCAGTTGCATTATGCTCCTCTGCTCTCTCCTCTCATGGGCACATAGCTAACATTCAATCTATTTTCTTATACAGATGAAGGGAAGAGTCTTAGCTCTTAACACTGTGAACCACAGCCTATACATAAAGGAAGATTATGCTTTGTGAAGATGGTAAGCAATATTTTATAGTAGCCACATTCAGGTATTAGTGCTAAGTGTTGCATAAATGGAAGAAATATTTCTATATACAGTCTACTTCTGGATCACTCCCTTTACTCAATTCAGTTATTCTCACTGTGGTTTTTGTTTCTCAGTAGCTGTTTGTTTACAAGATGTTTGCTTTCAGTTCCTTTCTGTGCCAAAGAAACTGGGCTTCTGTTTACTCAGTGTTGGCTTCACTTCTTTTTCTGTTCTTCAGATATATGCTGCTCTAACTAATTTTATTCAATATCAAGCAATGCAAATGAGGTGAGGCAAATGTATTCTTCTGAATGTTTTACAGAAAGCCTGATTTATTTTTAGTATAAATTACTGTACTTAGCTAATATTATTGCTCTGCTATTTATTCCAAACCTTTGTTTTAGGCCTGCTTGACTGGTTGACTGGTCTCAGATGAACTCCCTTTTTAATTCTGTCCATCATTTCTTCAACAGCTTGTCTCTTCAGATCTGTAACTTCTTCACCTGTTCCAAAAATCAAAGAGCATATCACATTCCAGATATGAACTCCAGAGAAATAGTACAAAGAAAAAAACATGTTAGACAGCCTCCTGAACAGCTTGCTTGCCACATACAGCCAGTTACCATCATCATGAATCACTTTTAATGATGAAACAGCATTTATATATATACAATGTATTTAGTTATAATATGTGCAGTAGGTCTTCCTGCCTGTATGTGTGATGCATACTGCTCATGTATGATCCAAATCTGTGCTTTTTCTCAGTTTTATTAAAAATGTAAATGATAAACATGAATATATAGGCTTATTTTTCTCCCTGTAAGTGGGCTGTTCAAAGGACCACTATGTTACTCTTAATTTTCCCCACCACAATGAGGCACTTTTTACCTTACACTGCATATATCTATATGGTAGCAGAAACCAGCAACCTCATCTCTAGTTATCAAGAATTCTAGTTTCTGGATACAGCACAATCTCTGCTATCATCTAAACTGTCACAAGCTCTTCAAGGCTAAAATGCCGATCTACACACATTGAGGACTACACACAGCTGTGGACTTTGCAAACGCCAAACCGCAGTGCCTGCAAAAGTCTGGACAGAAGCAGGGCCCAGATCCCGAAAAATGCAAAGCTCCTATAACTGTTTGGGACTCACTAAAGGTCAGAGCTATAGGCTGAAGCACCAAGGCCTGAAGAATACAGCCCCACTTCTACTGTATCTCTTCACTGCAACTCAGCAGAAATTTCCACAGCTTCGCTGACACAGGACAAGTTGATAATGCCCCACGGTGAGCCCGATATGCAGCCCGTCACAAGACTACCAAATATGTCTCATATTTCACATGGGTTTAAGAACCCTGCTGAAATGATACACTGACATTTCAGACTGAACTAAAAACACACATTTAATGTACACTGCATCGAGTTAAAGGACAAAACTTAAATAGTATGAAAGGAAACAGTTGCTTTTTCAAGAAATTCAGTATCAGGACTGCTAAATATTCAGATGAAATGGGAAGCTGTGTAATGAACCTAAGCTATACCTGCTAACTTATCAGTGTTCTGGATAATGTAACAAAAGACACTTAATGTGTCATACCAAAAAGGGGAAAAAAAGAAAGAGTACTTAAAGCAAATACATGGAGGAATATGGTTGACATTACTCAAAGCCGCAATGTTGTACCTTATATAACAGGAATTTTAAATAGACTTTCGCTCTCTCACTTGTCAGGGTACTAGTGATGATTCATAGAAATGCAGTTTCTGTATTGTAAGCCGATTTAACATCAGGCTTTGATTTCACAAACAGGCTGTTTCAAATATAAAAGCTTAATTGGCGGTATAGGATAGAAATCACTCATTCAAAGTCCTTAACAAGGGTCAAAACAAGCCTCAAGTTGGATATAATAACTAGATCAAGAAAGAACTTTCCTCCTTTTTTATTTTTATTTTAAGAACAGTTCAACTATCAAGAGAAGCAGCAGTTTATATATGATTGAAGAAAGGTCAGAACTGTTAAAGTTTGCTAATAAACAACGAAAGAATGGGGTGTAGAGAACTTACAGTGAATTTCATAGTATTTCCTGCAATCACTGTTTCTAACAGTCTTAACAAAAAGGTGTAATCAAAACATCTAGGATGCTTCAAGGTAAGGAAACTTGATAAATGAGGGCAACATAATTGAACTTTTACTGAAAGATAAGATTGACTTTTCATCAGAGATCTCGGTACAAGGTCACTTCTTTTTATTATTTTACCCAAAGCAATCACGTTATTTCTCTCGGACTGGTAACCGGTTCCCAAAGATTCCCCCAGGGACCTGCACAAGTCACCTCATTCCTCAGTTCCTCACCTAAAAAATGGGAGCGGTAAAACTAACGCTCTACCACCTTCTGCCTGTTGGGCCCATCCAACAATCCAGCCATGCTTACATACCAGTACAGTCTGCTTACAGCAATTTTTTCTTTAACAGTTATATCCTATACCTATAATTTCAGCCACGTTCCCTTCTGCAGCTCCCTTCTTTGTTTAAGTGGCAGCAAATGAGTTAAGCAATTCAGTACAAACTCCTGCTGTTTCAGAAGGAAGAGAGAAACAGCGAAAAAAACCTTAGTTATTTAACCGGCAATGCTTGTCTAACTAGCTCTGACTCTTCAGGCACCCATGCTCATTTCTAAATCTGTACTTAACTCCTGTTCTCAACCTACTATGTTTCCAGCTTCCATTAACAACAATAAAATGCAATTTCAGCTGTTACTTTGCATGCAGAGCCACCTTAGTGCAAGATTCTGTTTTGTTTTAGGTTTTCAGTATTATTAAAGGATTAGCATTACAGTCAACTTTGAGTGGTAATTTCATACGATATGAATTGAGGGATGAAAACGGAAGCATTTAACAAACTAGCTCTGCGGAGATGCTCTGGACAGAAGAAACAACAAACAAGAAGCCATTTGGAAGTTTGAAACTTCCCTGTGTTATACTGTATATAACCTGCTCTCTGCTTCATGCTTGTTGGGTTTGTTCTTCTCCCTCTTCCAGATAATCTGTGGAAGTGCAAAGCCCTGGACATACTGTAGCTGCAGCTACACGCTGTAGTGTCTCCCATGTAGTGGCATAGGTTGAGCGTCTCAGTGCTGCTATAGTACAACTACTACAGGCAGTATCAAACTGCCAGGGTGCAACTCAACAAGCAGGACAGGGTCAGTATAACAGCACGGGGCCGAAACGGAACCATCCTGTTCTCCTCACCTCACCCAGCATATCACCATACCCAGCTAAGTGCTTATCTTGTCAGGTCCTTCTGTGAGCCTATAATAAACATGACCACCCTCTCCCCAAGGGAAAAAAAGACAAAGATATTGTTTTCTGCCACATTAGAGAATGAAATCAGCTCAGTGACATATCAGATAAGCATGACAGCCAGAAGTAGGAAGATAAGAAATTTTTTTTCAGTTACAGCAAGTGCAAGGTCTTCCCTTAAGGCTTTTTAACTGCAGCCTCAAAGACTGTTCATACTGAAATCCATTTGGAAAAAATAAATTGGATACTGATCACCAGCAGTTGTGGGAGCACAGATGGCTATGAGGGCTATGCAAATTTGCTTGGTATCTCAAGGAAACTTGCAGTACCAAAAATGCCAAAGATATCACTTCCTGCTTCAGAGCTGCAATCACATTTCTGGACTGCAAGGTAGATGAATATGCTGGGACATGCATAGCAGTTGTTAATGTTGACATTATGAGCATTTCCATCACTGTCTGTACCCACAGATATCAGCTTTTTTTTTTTTTCCCCACTAGCTTTATCTGCAGTACCGAGTGAATAATCCACATGACTTGAGAAAGGAAGAGCCATACCTGACTCCTGCTGAGGAGGTTTCTCCTTCTTGCTCACGTTGGTGTTGGAGTGAGATCTCTTGCGAATCATTGACATGAGAGACCTGTGGGGAAAATGAAACTGCAGATTGTCATTCTGTCCTGTATTACACACTGTTAGAATGAACTTGGACACGACACACAAACAGCTTGCTTATACCTGATTATACAGCTACTTACAAAAGACTCATTTAACAGTTCTTGAATGCAGATGTATGTACTGAATTACCCCCTACAATGCCTCCCATCAAAATGCACCAGAGAAATTTATTTCTTTTTAACAGACATTAGACACAAATCAAAACACTCAAAAGATTTGAATATTAAAAGACAGTGTCTCATTGTGACACATGACAAATTGAAGCTGCTCCAGCACAATAAAAAGAAGGAAGATCTGCTGATATTGAAGTGAAGTATTATTCTCCAGAGGACACTTAAATATGGTGATCAGTATCCCCTCACCAACTACAAGTTTGCCATCTTCTTAGTGTCAAATAATTATCCCTTCACTATAGTCAAAACGTAAAAGTCAGGCAAGGAAATGATTCATCTTAAAGCCCAAGTATAAGCTCATCATTCCCTACTGAACATTGCCTCTTATGGGGCAGACTGACCTCGCTGACATAAAGGGTCAAAACTCTGTCGCAGAACAAAGTAGCATCCAGTGCCTAGGCTCTGAAACCACCTCTATGCACATAAACTTCACAGTGCCTGAAGGAAATACTCTGATTTAGCTACTACAAGGTTTAAAATGAATAGTGTTATCTATTCCAAATAATAAAGGGCACAAACTTACTTAAACAAAACAAAACAAAAAATCCCACAACACCCACACATAGTTAATTCATGCTACGCATTAGTGAGAAAGCAGCAAGCCAAATGAGTTAATGGACATACAAGGAGCAAAAGACCAAAATGCAATTGTTCAGAAACATTTAGTTTGGACTTTGAAAAACAAAGCAAGATGCACAAATGGAAGAATTTCCATTAGTAATCATTCCTATTCATGTATTCAACACAGTAGTTAACAAGATTTCTGTATGTAATTTCTGTTACGGAAGGTTAGAAAGTGTCATCAAAGTCCATTTATTTTTAAAACCAAGCAGCCAATATGAAGATTAGCTGAGTTCCTAAAATTAACTAAGTACACTTCAGGGCTTAGTTAATTAATTTGTGTCTAATACCTGATACATCGTGTATTGGTCAGCCTCTTTTACGGTCCTTTGCAAAAATCAGGCTTAATTTTGATAATTTTGCCCAAAACTGCTTGATGATGGGGTGGTGGTTTTCTGGGTCTTTTTAATTTATGAAAGCAATTGTGGGAACTCAATGGAGTCTGCATTTTCATCACCCGTATCCGACAGGAAGGGACACACAGTAATCCAACATATCCTTTGGTTCAAAGGGGTTTTCTTAGCAGTAGATTCAGACAAGCACTTCACAGGTCTATAATTACAGCTATCAGGTGAACAGAAAAAAATAACTCCTAAATTTAGAGGAGACAGGTATCCCTCCTCCTCCAAAGTCACAGTCTAGACAATTTGTTAGGCTTGGCAAGGCAGACACTGTTCAAACACTGTCAGGGTGTTTGTTTGCTGGAAGGTGGGGCAGAGTGTGTCCTGCTGGTAAAGAGCCCATGACAGATGGAGAAAGCCTTTTTTTTTTTAAAGACATTTTTCCTGCTTGGATGCAAGTTCACGTAATGCATTCTGCTTCAGCAAAGCACTAATGCTGTGACCCTTGATTTAAGCACCTACCGTATAGGGTTAGGAGGAGGGGGAGGAGGAAGAGGAGGCGGTGGTGGCGGTGGAGGAGGTGGCGCAGGATTTTCAGATTGCTGTATTCGTTTTTGAAGTTCATCAACTGCGTAAGAGCAATAAAGCAAACTAGAGTGAGTTCTTGGTTTCTCACATCTGCTCTGATGGTTTACAAAAAAAAGCCACTAATAATTAACTAAAAAACAAAGAAGACTAAACCATGCCATTGTTACAAAGTCCTATTTTTGGCAACATTTTCTACCAAGAAGGATGTCCTAGATGCACAGGATTCTTATTAAACCAGTTACCTCCAACCTGAGTTACTTTTGAAACTAAAATGACACTCTCCCTCATAGAGGATTCTTCATGTGAAATGACCGAGCAGGGAAGTTTCTCACATAAAAAAAAAGTTCTATTCGAGGTTGTATTTGAGAATGAACTGACAAGAGACGAGAGAAATGAACAATTTCAGCTTCCAGTCTCATCCCTGTGTCTTTCTGATGGACTTTGGTGTATTTTTTCCCCGCAAAAATAGCCAAAACTGGGCGGTGGGTGGAACGGATTCTTTCTCTCCTGTTTTTGTGTCAGATTTAAAATGTGGAAATTACTTTTCTGCACTTGAAATATTGTCAAATGCAATTAACTCAAGAAGGGCAGAAACACTGTGCTATACCATTTATTTTTAAAACTAGGTAAGAGGATACATTTTAACTGAGTATGAAGGATTATGTCTTTCACATGGAAACCCACATATATATTCCATTGTAAAACTCAGGGCAATGTAACAACAATATTCTTACACCTTACAGAAATTGTACTGAAAGGTTATTCTTTCACACACTTTCTGGACATGACTGTTCTGTGGTTGAAGTCAGTTGCTGAATTTTGTCATGTGACACAGAGGTCTGGATCTCAGCTACAAAAAAAGCTGTTGCTTCTTGGATCTCAAATGTAACATGTATAATTCTATTAGACATGCATGACTCACATCCCCCTAAATTGTATCTCTAAAATGAAAGTTACTACATGAATTTACCTGAATGCTTTAGGTCTCTAGCTTTTTCTTCTGAGTTCTGACACTTAAGCTCTAGTTCCTTTTTATCTTCTTCCAAAAGTTCTAGTTGCTGTTTAAGACGGCTAATCTCCTTATGCAGTGCTTGATTCTCTAGCTGCTCTTCCAATTCTTTGATCTGCAGTTGGCAAACAATAGCATTCATTACAACAAAAGATATTTTCTGTCCTTCCTTTTGATAAATAACCCATTAGGCACAGTTATTCCTGAAAACATGATGTTATAGTATAGGACTGAACTACAACTCCCGGAAAGAGGACAATTTTTGAATGAGAACTGGACAGATTTTTCTGAGAGATGTCAGAATTTTCTGTCGTGACCTTGTTTTATCTGTATGATAACTTGTTTTATCTCTTTTTTAGAATACGTCCTTAGCTGTAAAGTACTTAAGCTATAAATTGTTCCCTTTTTGTTTTTATAGAGTTTTTATCACATAATTAGAATTTAATTTCAAATGTTTCTTCATTTGAAGCATGAGAACATTGACATTTTTGTTCTTTTACTGACTGCTTCCACTGACAGGGTTGGTTATTTAAATTCCCCTGTCTCGACTCGTGCAGATGCCAGCGGGCGAATTATGGAACATCAGGTTAAGAGGCAGCATTCAGGCACAGAGCGGCAATTGTTTCCCAACTCCCTAAATATATACATTTTGCACTGGACTTCACGGAAGCAAAGATGCAGAGGTTTTCTACGAATTGGCAATTATTCTTCCAAAATACTCATTCAGATGGATGTGAGATTACATATAATCTCAGTATTGCTGCACTGATGAAAGCACAGGAACTGTGTACCTCTTCCCAGCATTGCTCTACTACCAGAGTTTTAAGAACAGACCTCACAACTAAGGGAAAACTTATTTTCAGGCTTTCAAGTGAAGCAGTGGTAATTTCTCCCAGTTAGAGACTGATCTAGTCCAGTTTCAAATAATGTATTTGTTTAGATCCTAGCACTTTAGATCCTATCACACCACTTTGCAGCATTCACCTAACATTTCCCTACTCCGGTATGTCCAGCTCTCCCCCACATCTGTCTTTAACAAGCAACCAGACTACTAATGTGAACTGCCTACCTCTCACCTCCTGGTTTTCTTCGCTGGTTCCCCCAAAATACCCTTTATATTACTCAACATCCAAAATACTCTGTCACCTTTTCTTCACTTAATGGAACTTCACATTATGCTTGTAATTAAGCCTATACTTTACTAGCATCCAGAATAAAATACTGAACTAAATCAGAGCCTTCAGGCTGAAAAATCTTCAGGTTTTATACTTACGTTTTACCAGCAAACCAGAAGGGAATCACAATCTTCTCTGAAGTTCAGTTTTTAGATTGTGAAGTCCTCTGGGGGACAAGATCTCAAATAATTCTGAACATAACAAGTACATGAGAATCCTTAAATCCAGGAGGCTTTCAAAGAATTCTGCATGAGATGAAAAGTAATCCTGTTTTACCTTTTGTTGGTGTTGAAGCCTCTCCTCTTCTAATGTATGGGTTAGTTTAGCATTGTCATCCAAAGCCTTCAAAAGCTGTTGATCAGGAGCAGAATTTTGCAGAAGCAACTGACTTTGCCTTTTCATCTTGTTTTGTTCAATAAACATCTGCCAAAACAAAACCCACCCCCAACAAAAACAATGCTTAAGCACAGTCCAATGCTATCCTGGGAAATACAGCAACTGGAAAAAAAAAAAGAAAAAAAAAGAAAAAAATAACATTGTGTTAATATGGTAGATGTAGAGAGGAAGAAGGTGAGAAGGAAGGGGAAAGGAATTCTGAGAGCAAAATTTGCAAGAGCTAAGTTCTCACTGAAAGGAAGCAGGTGTTTGCTGAGAGAATGACCCACTGCTGCACCTCAATCACCCACACGTTGGCAGGATTCAGAATTTAAACACATCCTTGAATTTTGTTTCCTGGGAATAGGAACAATCTGATCCCTATTCTCAGAGCTCTGGAGAGATTAAGAGAACTCTGGGTGGAGGAAAAAATGTCTATGAATTCACAAGCTATCTCCTCAAACACATTTGAAAGCCTTGGCATAAAGCCCACATATTTGAGGGCTACCTGGATCCGTGAATGATGGAGTGTCGTTGGGAAATGAATTTCTGTTCATGTTTGTGTAATCAGTGTATGCACTTCCCTGGGAAAAGACATTTCAGGGCAATTTCAGCCTTTTACTTCCGATGCTTACGTTTTTCCCTCTTCCCTGGTTATACTTCTGATGTAGGGAATGGATACATTGCAGGGGGGGAGTAAATGGTTTAGACACACGACTTCGATAAAAATACCACACATTTCTCCTGGCTTCCCCTAAGAGGTGCAGAGGCTGTCAGCACATGCCGTTTCTGTAAGAGAGATCCCCTCCTTCCAGACTGCTTAGGAACTTGGAAAAACGAGATTGCTTCCCACCAAAAAAAAATTCTCAGTGAATTTATTCTGCATCTTGACATCTCTTTCAGGTAGAGGGTTGCTCCCCCCGGCAACAGGGTTTCCACTCCTGACAAACTCAGCTGCGCCTATTCTTACAGCCGAAATAGGGACTGGGTCATGCTGAGGTTTCAGATGAGTGTGCACAGGTCAGCAAAGCATGCCACTTATGGCAAGAGAACAGAGAACAGCCTGAGAACACAGACATTCCCTCAGACTGTACAACTGACTGAACTGACAAACACTGTTGTATAGCACAGCAAAAGCAAGAAGAAATTTTAAGAATAAAGTATTGGAAATACGCAAGTTCCATGAGATCTTTTCAGGTTCCCGTACTATTTATTCACAAACCAAAATTACAGATACAACGTATGGTTTCTTCCCATTCGGTGCTACTGCAATGCTACGTGATTTATTTATTTTTTTTAATATAACTGAATTTTAAAGAACCAGCAGCTGATGCAGATGTGCGGCAAGCGTTCCGCCCAGTGCTTTGCACAGAGGCTTCAAGTGAGTCTCTTAGCAAGCAACTCTCTCCCTAGCCGTACACACAGACCAAGCAGCCTGCTGACCGTGCTGAACTTTTAACTCACAAGGCAGCCTGCTTGACCCTGCGTGCCTAGAAGAGTCAATTGATGCGGCCTTAATACTAATAAAACCCACAATGAACACTTCATTGGGCAAAGCTGTGCCGTGGGGGTAGGCAATAAAGGACTGGAAGTATTCGATGAAGAGGAAACAATGAATACAAGCTCTAAGTACTATACTTTGTTACTAAACAAACAAAAAAAAAATTTACGACAATACACAGGCCACTGTGGTGCAAATGTGCACTGGCCATCAGTTCCAAAATTTTGCCAGTCAAACCAATTATGCTTGCATTACCTTACACTAGTAGGGCTGTGCAAAAACAATTCGAAGGCAAGAGAAGTTCAGAATCAAAGCTACTCGCCCCAACCTGTAAAGGTTTGTCTTTGTATTGCAACTCATCTATTTGATTAACATTTTATCTTCCTAAAAGAAACAGCATCTTCAAAATATCGTACTTTAGAAAGGCCTCTAAATCACTGCTAAAGAACTCAATACTGTCTCAAAGCCTCCTGCTTTCCTGTTAAGTCAGTCAAAAGTTATTTAAGCCTGACAGAAACATCATCTATCTAGAAGCCACCTTTAGCAAACATCACAGTTTACCTACTGTGAACTTTCAAATCAATGAGAAAACTTTTTTTTTTTTAATCTGAAAAACAATAAGAGGTGATAATTCCAGATTTTTGTTCCCTGAATTTCTGCCACTAAAACCAACAGAACAGAGTTGTTCCAGCCTGAGGGAGCAGAAAGCTGCCAAAACAAGAAGAAATCAAGTAGAGCAACTTGATTTCTTCGACTTGAGCGGATACTTCACCAAATGTAGAAAATTCATATTCACTTTGTTTCATGCTCCTCTGCAATAAAATGAAAAAAATCCTCTTGAACTGAGTGAAAACCTTTTCATTCAGAAGTTTTAATGTGACGTCCTGCATTTTCAATTAGCTTTATAAATTGTTTTCATGACATTGCAAATACGTTCCTGCTTACAATATATGTGAAAATGTCTTCTCCACCACAAAAAAACTTTGTTGCTTATAACTTAATACTTCAATCAGATACGTGGGAATCAATTTCTCATGGGGATTCCCATTCATTTCAGAAGTTACTTACACATGTGTCCTTGAAGTACCAGCATATTCCAGATGGAAGAGAGAAAATTAGACAAGATGGTCATAGCAAATAAAGCAGAGAGCTGGTGATGAACTGACAGGAAGTTCTTGAGAGGTTGTTCTGTGTGTGTGACGTGGGACCAAAAAGATCCTTAGAAATTAAGTCTAATTTAAAATTAAAACAATCATTCGGTGAGTAAGGAGGGCAGAAACCTGACTGCCTGCACAACCCTGACTATTAATTAAAGTGACTGCTGAAAGGGCAAAACAGCTACTAACAGGATTATTTGGACTAGGTGGAATTTAACCAACTGATGGATTAATTCCGACTTTGCCACTTGCTAGACAATTATCTGCAGAGTATCCCAATCAATGCTAGAAACGTAAGTCAATACTGGAGGAATCTACTGAAACCACGACTACAACTAAAGGCAGATCGCAAAGGACAAAGCTTGCTTACACCTATCATTTTCATTTACAAAATCTCCAAGTGTTGTGCAAACCAGCTAGTTTTATTTCCCTTGTGAGTTTACAAACAGAAGCTCCAACATGCAGGAAATCTGGGACTTGGCCACTTTCCATCAGCAGAGTTTGCACAAGAATTGGGGAGGGGAGAGAGAAGGGGGTGAAATCCCGAAAATAACAGAAGTTTTTCCCTTGACCTTAATGGGGCCACACCTCATTCTCAAGCCCCTGCTCTAACCATTACCCCACAGAGCATTCACTGCAGCTGTTTTTTGTTTACACCAGAGCTGGAAAAGGAATTCTTCCTCATTAAAAAAGTTAGAAAGCAACTCTGTTAGTGTCAAGTCCCTGGGAACTTCGATCCTCGTTCAAGTGGCGTTCAGAGTATAACTGGATGCTTTCCAACTAAATCCTCTCCCAGGAGCAAAATGAGGCCAAAGAAAATGCTTTAATATCCACATGTTGCTACACTTCCATCTATACATTGTTTGGATACTCACTACGTGGAATAACTTTTTTGCCTTAGCCACAGTTTGATGGGAGAAGAATGTCTCAATACAGCAGCACTGTTATAATAAGGTAATCACTGCTTGCATAAAAAAAAAAAAAAATAAAAAAAAAAAATCCGTGGCAAACGCTACCCATTACGAATAGAATAACAAAAGATATGTAGCAAGGCAGAGTCAAACTTCAGAAGTCTCAAACAGAAAAGAGAAGGTCACCCAACTGAGCAGTTGGCCCTGATTTCAATCCTTGGCAGCGCTGCTCCATCCCCTCCACATCCTAGTGAGAAATCATCCTTATGGAGTGGTAACCCACTCATTTACACTTGTCACAGGTTACAGGAGCTGACGTCTTTTGCATTATGTGTACCCTGAAGCCTTATAGTCTTGTGTTCAGTCTTGAAATAAGTCCCAACAGAGGTAGGGTCAAGGTACTTGTATCTCCCCAAAAGAACAGGCTGTTTGAAGCATTTTATGTGATGGGGGTGACAGAGTGATCTTGTCCGATTATGGCTTGACAGGGCACTAAGTGGCTCTAAATTCAGGAGGTACTCAGTTTAAAATATAAATCCAGGTGTGGATTTTAGTTCAATGGCGAATCAGGAAAAAAATAAATACATGTACTCTAACTTTATAACTGCTTAACTGTACTGTATTATCAAGGACACCTGGGCTTGTGAGCTTCACTGCATATAAATATTACAGCAGGAAACAATGGCTACTGGGGGTTTTTGACAGAAAAGTTGAAAAACGGATTATCTTATTAAAACACATTAAGAAACACCCACAGTTTGGACATTGACCTAGAAATGCTCTCTCTAGCCTCAGGCACAATGCTGCACATCAAGCAATAGTATCAGCCTTGGATGAGTTACAAACCCCTTGTGGTTTAGTGTGTCTGAAGTGCTACTCAGGAAAAAAGCTACAACAAATACACGGATTCTGCAGTTAGGACACAATCCAGAAACTTACTTCAGCACACACTTAATTTTCAGTACATATGGCATTACTCTCATCTGAGTATTTTGTCTGGTGCTTATATTCTTCCCTGCCTGGGAATTGCTTCTATGGAAAGTAACTGTCATGTGATGTCAGACAGAAAAAGAAGATTACCCAAACAGCTAATATCAAGGGCATGGAGGGCACAGGACAAGACTCTCTTTAACAAAAACAAACAAACACACACCCCCAAAAAAACCACCATGAAGTACGGAAAACCAGAGCGAAGCATTTCTGGCAAGGTGCTGTGACCTTCCTCCTTCAGAGGAGCCAGACTAACCCTGGCTGGATTTTCAAACTGCCAAAGAAAACTGAGCAATATGACCATGAAAAAGGACATAGGCATGATTATGGGCAGCCAACAGTCACTCCTCTCTCTCTCTAGATGATTCATAATATTTTACAGTTAATAGCTTTTGTTAAGACCTGCATCAATTTTAGACTAATGAAGATACTATACAGTTGCTTTAGTATTTGCCAGACAGCTTCTGAAGGGACTATTTCTAAAGAGCT